CAGAACCACAGGGACATGCGCCGAGCTTGCCGGAGAAGGCCGAGCTACTTTCGGGATTCAATGCCTAAGCTTACGCTTCGCTAAGGATTCTCTTGGGGTTCCTTCAGGGTTCGATAAGGGTTCTTTCGTAAGGGTTCTTGAAAGGGTTCTTCAAGGGTTCTATAGGGGTTCTGTAGAACGCTAAACCCTAAACCCCTAAACCCTAAACCCTAAACCCAGAGCCCTTTCCTGCTTTTGGGTCGGGATCGCCGGCTCAGGATTTTCGATCCCAATTCTTAAATCCCTAGGGAAGTAAGAGTTGCGGATACTTTCAGCAACACTCCAAAAATTCAGTTACTCCAAAACTTCGAAACAATACTAAAGCTGTCTGAATCGTGGAAAACACCGCAGATCCGACCAAATGATTTGGAAGAAGTCTGCAAGAAGTGCTATCCCTAAACCCGGGGAACTCGTGAAATTTAAACCGTAGAGCCTACGCGGCCACTCCCCAAAAGACGGGAGCTGAATTGGCTCAGCCACCTCCGAAATTCCAGCTGCGCCCTCTGTCGAACTCGTTGGCCGGTAGGAGCTTCTCGAGACTTACTTCAAGACTCATGGGACTTAGTAACTAAGGCCTATACGGGCTCCTTTAAAGGGATCTATAAGGTTTCTATAAGGCTTCTATAGTGTGGCGTTAGGGGTTTAGGGGTTTAGGGGTTTAGGGCTTTGGGATTCGGAGTTTAAGGGTTTAGGGGTTTAGGGCTTTGGGATTCGGAGTTTAAGCGTTCAGGGGTTTAGGACTTTGGGATTCGGAGTTTAAGGGTTTAGGGGTTTAGGGCTTTGGGATGCGGAGTTTAAGGATTTAGGGGTTTACCGTTATTGGATTTAGGGGTTTGGAGACCAGTTAGGGTTTAGGACACTGGTACGTCTACGTAGTATCGACCTACTAAGTCCACCCGACCCTACAGGTAGTGTGGGGTTTATTTGGGGTTGCATGTTGAGGAGTAATGAGGGTGTAGGGTTAGGGTGAGAGGTATTGCGGGGTTTAGGGTTCAAGCTTTGTTAGGTACGGTGGGGTTTTGGGTTTTGGGTTGTGGGATTTGGGGTTTAGGGGTTTGGGGGACGGATTTGGGGTTTAAGGGTTTAGGGGTTTATATAGGTTGAGGGGTAGTGGTTTCGGTTCGGATTGAGGGCTTTAGGGTTTAGGGCTTAGGTTTCAGGGTTTAGGGCCAAGGGTTTAGGTATTGCCATGCCAAAGGCTCCAAAACCCTTTAACTACGGAATATACCTTAAAGCCTTAAAGTCTATTCGGAACACAAACAGAGTTTAAGGTACACTCCATAGGGGCTTCGCTTTCGGAGTCTCTGGGAACAAGTCAGGCCTTTAGTCCAGTTTAGGTGCCATGTTCTGACGGCTTTAAACAAATTCAACGATCTCGGGATGTGACGGCGTCCCGCACTTTCTGAACTATATTGAGCTGGCTTTTATATGGGTCGTCAAGGGCTATATAGAGTTTCATGCGGAGTTGTAGAGGCTTTCAACGGGGTTTAGAAAGGGTTGTTATTTTTATGAGATTGACAAGGGTTGCCGAGAAGTTTAGTAAGATTCCATTTCCATGCAAGGCTTTACAATGGCTGGAGAGGGATTCTAACATGGTTTCATGCAAAGCGCTGAAGGGTTTAACGCCTAGGCACCACTTCATTGACAACAAGCACCTTGATTCCTAAGGCGCGAAGAGTTTTAGGGGGAGCCCGTAAAGGGCACCTCGGCAAGTGTTTTGAGAAACTCCCCTAGCTACGCAGCCTCATCCGACCGCGGAAATGGAAGCGTTACTTGAGGGCTGATACAGGGCTGCTCTAGGCTTTACCTTAACCCAGAATAACCTACCCTTTTAAGGACTTATATAAGGAAATCATACTAAGGAACCCTAAAAAGGTTCTTCAGGGTTAAGGTAGGGTTTAGGCTCAAGCCGGCTTTTGTTCATGTCTGTTCTTTTGTTGCGCGGTCGCTGCTCTTTGGTCGCTGTTGTTCATAAGGCAGTGATTACCGTCAGCACAACAATGCATTGCTAGGGTTGCCGCTGCAGTTGTTGCTGCTGCTCCTATTTGCTGCTGTGTCGTACTGTCATCGACAGAACTACTGCGCTGTGATGATGCTGATTTCTGATAACCAGGCCTATGAAATGGTGGTGCTGATGATGATGCTCATGATGATGTTGATGATGACGGTGATGATGACGATGATGACAACGACTTTGATGATGGTGGCAATGCTTAGACGTAGCAGGAAGAAGCGCCGACGGTGCTCCAATACTTGCAGGTACCTAGACCGTCAACTCTACGATATGCCCTAGACCATTTGAGCTGCAAAAACCCGTTAAGCCTAAACCTCAAACTGCAACGATCCTTCAAGCCCAAAACCCCCAGCCCGAAACTTAAACGGTTCAAAGCTTTGATGCTTCCGCAACTTTCGATCATGGCTTCCTATGATGAGCGACCCGAACCCACACCCCAAGCAGTAATATAGGGGCCTTGGTAATTAGAATGGGCTGTTGGTGCACATTATACCATAATTATGACAAGGAACCCTCGAAATAGTCTTGGTAATTATTTAGGCCCCTATGTTAGGACTCTTTATAGAAAGACCACCCCAAAGGGGGACCCACGGCTGCACTAGGCTATAGAAACATCAAGACGAACCTCTGGCTGAACCAACTGCAAAAGCTCTATGAAGACCCGGTAAACCCTACCTTAACCCGGAATAACCTACCCCTTTAAGGACTTGCATAGGGAAATCATTTTTTGAGGAACCCTAAAAAGGCAGGTTCGTCAGGGCTAAGGTAAACCTTAAATACTAAAACTTAAACCAGCCGCGGCAGTCGAGGTCCTTATTATACCCGGCGCTCAGGTGGCACGGCGACAGCCTGTGGGATCGAGGTGTCTACTTGGAGGGTCGGGGGACTTACGGTTGATGGTACAAATCCTGCATTCCCTTAAGGACCCTGACCAGTAGTCATGCAGGATTTGTATCATCAACCGAAGCAGTGATTCTATGAACTTGTAAGCATGACAACCCCAATTAGGGTCCTTTCGGGGTAGGTAGTACTCTATAAAACAACTAGTTACGAAGTCCCCCGACCCTCCCAGTAGGGCTGTCTCCGGGGCTTACGGTTTAAGTTTAAGTCCTTACGGCTCAGGGTGAGTGCACTCAATGCCACAAACCTACGCAGGTTCCCCTGAGGGTTCTGTATGCGGGTTCTTTCCCACACCTCGGGAGGATCTGGAAAGTGCATTCCTCATTATTGGGGGGTTCCTATAACTACCCTTTAGCAGTGTAGGACCAACGTCGAAGATGATTTCAAACAAGCCGTGATAGTGGGTATCCGCACCAAGTCATCAAACATGTTAGGTTGATCTTGCATCAAGCACCTGCTGATTACATCTCTCCGGTGCCGGGCGGAGGCCCTGAAGACCTTGCAGCCGTTGATGTGTGCGGAGCATATGGGAGTTTCCGAAAATAGGGGACCCCAATATAATACCCTAAATAGTAGGATCCTCATTATAAGGAACCCAGATAAGGTACCCCTAATTTTGGAACACTCCCATATCGGGTCAATCGCAGAAACAAGCCAGCCGCGCAACATGATGAAGAAGGAGGCCCCAAATGATAGGGACCCCAAAAAGCACATAAGCATAAGCATTTTATGGGGATATCCCTACCTTATTGGCCTTCCGATTTAAGGGGTTTATATGGGATATCCCCATCCTAATTTTCGCTTATATGCTTTTTTGGGCCCTAAATGAGGGAGTTAAGGCTTACACGGCCATATGGTTCATGGCTCGGGGAGGGGTTCGGGGGGGGGGGGTTAACGCGATTTCGTGTAAAACGGTTCCCCTGATGGTTCTGTATGCGGGTTCTTTCCCACACCTCGGGAGGATCTGGAAAGTATATTCCTCATTATTGGGGGGTTCCTATAACTACCCTTTAGCAGTGTAGGACCAACGTCGAAGATGATTTCAAACAAGCCGTGATAGTGGGTATCCGCACCAAGTCATCAAACATGTTAGGTTGATCTTGCATCAAGCACCTGCTGATTACATCTCTCCGGTGCCGGGCGGAGGCCCTGAAGACCTTGCAGCCGTTGATGTGTGCGGAGCATATGGGAGTTTCCGAAAACAGGGGACCCTAATATAATACCCTAAATAGTAGGATCCTCATTATAAGGAACCCAGATAAGGTACCCCTAATTTTGGAACACTCCCATATCGGGTCAATCGCAGAAACAAGCCAGCCGCGCAACATGATGAAGAAGGAGGCCCCAAATGATAGGGACCCCAAAAAGCACATAAGCATAAGCATTTTATGGGGATATCCCCACCTTATTGGCCTTCCTTTTAAAGGGGTTTATATGGGATATCCCCATCCTAATTTTCGCTTATATGCTTTTTTGGGCCCTAAATGAAGGAGTTAAGGCTTACACGGCCATATGGTTCATGGCTCGGGGAGGGGTTCGGGGGGGGGGGGCTTTTAACGCGATTTCGTGTAAAAGGGGCTTGTAGGGCATGAAGGAGCTGCACATGGGGAGTGACTCAAAGGCGTTATTGGGATTTTGTAACATACCGCAAGAAAAGTGTTCTTATCAAAAGGCCCCTAAATTCAGTCCCTAACCTTACATAACCTTTACCCTAGAACCGTGGTAAATCCCTTGCGGAACCCTTATGAAACCCGTACAGTGAAGGAACCCTGTTCTAAAAACACTACACCGTGAACCCTGCAACGTTCAACCCCAAGCCCCCAGCTCTAAATTCTTCAACCCTAAACCCTGGACCCTCAACCCTAGACCCCACACACACACACACACAACCCTGTGGTTGTCAAAATTATAGTCCCTTTTTGGGGTACCCTAAATAATAGGTGCCGTCCCATAATAGGGACCCAATAAAGGATCCTAATTTTGACAGCCCCTATAACCCTCGACCCCAAACCTCAAACCCGTAACCCTTAGACACCAAAGCGTGGCCTCAGCGCGCGAAGTTGGCGGCAAATCGACTGCTCAAGGACCCTGTGTCGCCTTGGTAGAGGTGCTAAGGACTCTGCTGGTTAGTGTTTACATGTTTACAGGCGTTTGGGGACGCCGTAGGCTCTGCAGTGCATTATCAAGCTCTTTAAGAGGCTCACAGGGTCTTTAGTAGGGCTTAAGCCCTAAACCCTAAACCCCTAAACCCTAAACCCTAGCCCTAAACCCTAAACCCCTAAACCCTAAACCCTAAACCTAAGCATAGCTTTGGGCTCCGGCACAGGGTTAACCCCGGGTCTGATATTGAGGCTCAGGTTTCCGGGGAGACTCCAGCTACTTGGAGGATCGTGGGACTTAGAAAGTAAGGTTCCTTAAAGGGTTCCTTAAGGGGTTCCTTAAAGGGTTCTGAAAGGGATCTATAGGGTTTGGGGTTTAGGGTCTACTTGGAGGATCGTGGGACTTAGTAAGTAAGGTTATAAGTACCCTAATTGGGGTTATAAGTCATTATAAGTACAGTTACCCTGACTATAACCCTAGTTACTAAGTCCCATGATCCTTTAAGTACTCCAGGCACTTCAACGTCTCTTTGACCATAAACTCGGATGCCCGGTAACCTAGGAATAAAAAGGGCTCCCTTTTAGGTATGGGGTACCTTAATGAGGAACCTAGGACAACAAAAAAGGGAACAAGGTACTACTGGGCATCCTAGTAAAACAAAACATCGGAAGCTTCAATCCTAATCTCGGCACCTGAAAGCTGCAACCTAATCTCCGAACCCTCCAGGATATCTCCAAACCCCGGTTCTGGCCTACCACACCCCGAACACCCACGTGCCCCCAACCCGATACCTTCTAACACATTCTTCTGCCACACCCGTTGAACCCCTTCTACAACCCCCTAAGCCACCCTACCCTGAGCCCTAAACCATCAACTCTACTCCGGAACCCCCAAGTGCCCTTTAAAGGGCTCTAGTGTGTCTCATTAAGAGGTAACTCGGGGCTACAATATAGGGTACTTTAAAGGGCTCTAGTGTGTCTCATTAAGAGGTAACTTGGGGCTAGGCTGAACCCAATACCTACAAGGGCCAAGGCACCTCCGCCCGAGCGCTTGCCGGAGCCCCTCACCAGGCCCTGCATGGCCGGGTGGGGCCGTGGCACCTGGCTGTCCGAGGTCCCGAGCTTAAGGAACTCTATCTGAAGGTTCCAATAAGGTCTCCTTCACTAAGTTCCTGAGTGGTGGAGCGTAATGAAAAGGGTACCGACTATGGGTTTTTTTAAGGAACCCAAAAATTAAACGGTCAAAAGGGTAAGAGCTCCTGCAATTAAGGGCTTCTACAAACGTTCCTCCTGTATTTCAGGGCAGGAAAACTACTAATTATACCGATTCTCTTTCACAGTCGGAGAAAAGGTTCCGGGTTTAGGGCACAGTCTAAGGATTAAGGCCAAGCGCAACAAAACTCAGAAGCTTAAACCTCAAACGCGAGAATCTTGTTTCGGGGCCTAGGCTTTAGGATTCGTTTCCAGTCCAATGCCCAACCCCCGACCCTAAACCTTACAACCCCAACCCCCAAATACAACAAGAACTGACTGCAAACCCGGAGAGCCCAATACCCCTTAATTAAGGAATATAGCTTAAATCATAATATGAAGCCCTACATAATTCAAGCCAAACCTGCATTGACTCCGCTACCCAATTGTACATTGCGCGAAAGTCAGGTTCTTCCTCCTCGCGCACCGTGCATACCCATCCTTCAACTGCAGCACCATATGTGCTTTCCTTGGAAGTTTCCGAGTCTCCGTGGAGCTCGCCACAGAGCATAAAGGCGAACGACGCCCAGTTCCAGTTCCCGAACCTTGGTAGCTTCACCGGAAGTCGTCATGACGCTTGGTAAAGTGGCCTCTGTTGAAATACGAGGCCATGTGTTCCGTGGCCCCATTCTGGCGCAATTTGCGCATGCCAGTTCGGAGCTCACTCCATCTGCTCCACTGACGCTCCTTCTGGGCCACCGATTGGGGTGGGCCTCGTGGAAGGACTTTTGGCAGACTGAGCCTGAGAAGACGCAGGATTGATGACTGTCGGCACACTTTCAAGGTTCCCTTCATGTCTTCATCAGGGAAGCCTGAAATGAAAAGGGCTAAAGGGTACTACTAGTTGCTGAATGCTCCCAGACTCCCAAGGGTGCAAGTACCCAACTAGTAGGGTTTCAAGATCCACAATCGCTCAGAGTATGGATAATTGGGGGGGCTAAAACCCTACTGTTTGGATATTTGGGCCCGTAGGGACTGCCTCAACCCCAAGGGCCCAGGGTTTAGGGTTTAGGGTTACCCTAAAACCTAAAACCTAAGAAACCCTAAACCCTAAACCTTTGAACCCCGAACCTTAACTCGGATGCCAGTAACCTAGGAATAATCAGGGCTCCCTTTTTGGTATGGGGTAACTTTATAAGGAGCCTAGGACTACAAAAAGGGAATAAGGGTACTACTGGGCATCCTAGTAGACGTACATATAACCTCGATCTGTATGCTTGAAAGTGTGCAAATGGCGTGGTTTTTGGGGCTTGGCCAAGAGTTCTGCATGGATTTGGTTTGATTTGGGCGGTTGTCAAAATTTGGGTCGCTTTTTTGGTCCTTATTATAATACGGCACCTAATATTTAGGGTGCCCAAAAATTGACCCTAATTTTGACAACCACCCATTTAGGTTACAGGCTAGGGCTCTAAAGCCAAATTCCTTGAAGCCCTGAACTTGAAGCTTTGGGCCTCGATACTCTAGGAAAACGCGTTGGGTTTAGGCATTACTTGGAGGGTCGGAGGACTTCGTAAATAGTTATTTTATCGTCTTATAAGTATCGTAACCCCTATTTAGGGTCCCTATTAGGGTACTTATAAGTCTACTTACTACCTACTTACTAAGTCCCCCGACCCTCCAAGGAGGGTTCAGGGTGTAGGATTCTGGATTTAGGGTCCTTCGCTACACCCTTCAGCTGAGGCTGTGCCTTGTCCAGCTGCGCCACGATGGTGATCTTCTTCATCATTCTCCGATCCTCTTTTTTTGTGGCTCACGAAATGTCTCCAACACAGATGACATAAGGGCAGTTCACGTTCTGGCTATAACCTCCTTATCCCTAAGTGTGTTCCCAAATGATCACTACGATAACGGACCTTAAGAACACCCCTCGCCACTCCTGTGGTTTTTGTCGTGACGATAGTTGCTTCTGCGTTGTCCCTGCGACTGCGATACTCAGCAAGCTTGCAGTCAGGTTTACCATGCGGGCGCATGTTCGAACGCAAATGCCGAATCAGCGTTTGCCCACCCGCCCCCCCTCACCCCCGACCTCGGCCGTGAGCTCCTCTGATGCGCGACGGTCGTCGCCGCGGCCTGGAATGTGAGCGCAAGCGGCTTGGGTTTGAGCAATACTTGGAGGGTCGAGTAGACTTATTATGAGTACCTTGCAAAGGTTCCTAGTTGAGGCTATGACACTAATAAGTCTATAAAATAGCGACTTTCTAAGTCCCCCGACCCCCCAAACTATGTGTTCCAGATCTAGTTGCAGCAGTAGTGGCAGCGGCAAGGGAAGAGTAGGAGTACGGCTGGGGCCTCTGGAGGGGTTGGGGTGGGATGTGGGGCTTAACGGGAACAGTCGCTACGGCTCGCTTAAACCAGGAAACCTGATGATGATGATGACAAAAGACGAGTTTGGGGTGCCGTGCTTAAGGGACATATAGGTCCATGCCGTAAGTACTCCAATTCATCCCCGAAGAAGAAACCATGCAAAGGTGCCTTTGCCGCCACCGCGTGGCGGTTCGAAGCTGGACTGGGCGTCGCGCTGACGGCTTCGAGGGTCGTGGTTAACGTAACATAGGTGCCTAAATAATTACCAATACTATTTGGGGGGGGGTCCTTGTTATAGTTATAGTATTGTATACCCCAAACCCTTCTAATTCTGAAGACCCCTAACTGCTTGGAGGGTCGGGGACTTAGTAAGTAGGTTATAAGTAGACTTATAAGTGCCTGAAACGGGACCCTCATTGGGGTTATGGTACTTATAAGTCTCCAAAACAACGACTTACTAAGTCCCCCGACCCTCCAGGTGAGGGGCCCTAAACCCTAAACCCTAAACCGTAGAGGTCCGATGCCGAGGGTTGAAGGTGGAGGCTCGGGCTTCTGCTTGCATGGCGCCCCCAGACCCTCAACATGCCCAGAGACTCCAATATCCCTTAATTAAGGAAGATACCTTAAAATATAGTAGGATCCCTAATATGACTTAAGGAATATTCCTGAATTAAGGGATATTGGAGTCTCTGGGTGCACAGGTACCCTTAACCCTAGACCCTAAACCCCTTATCAGGTGACTGAGCCCAGACTTTCGGGAGGATCTAGAAAGTAGACCCCCTACAGTAATTTTGGGCCCTATACTACTAAGGGTACTTTATAGGAACTCCCATTGAGGGATCTACTTTTTGGATCCTGCTGGGGGTCTGGGAAGAGAACCTCAGATGAAACCTCTAAGACACCAGAGAAGCCTTCGAAATAACGCAAAACTGTTAGGCTCCTTCAAGGCTCTTTTGAGAGTGGTTTGAAGGATCCCTGTTCTCCAGGGTTTTGGGTGAGGTTTAGGGGTTTAGGGTTTAGGGTTTTCATGGGGCCAGGAACCCCCACCCATTCTTCTTCAAATTGAGATCTCGTTTATGATCCTTGCAAGACCAAGGGTGTCCATGAATCAGGGCGCTGCATAAGGAACATGCTCCTTAGCTTGACGGGATCCCTGGCCAGAGTCTGGTGCTGAATCCTACCTGTCCAGTTTCCCATGCGAGCGAGAGTTTGCACACCGGGATCGTACAAGAAAGCACTGTCCCATGCAAAGGGGTTAGGGTTGCAAACCTCACAGTCCTAAACTCCCTAAGCCCTGACCCCCTAAAACCCTAAACTCCAAACCCTTAAAAGCCTTAACCCTAAACTCCAAACCCTTAAAAGCCTTAACCCTAAACTCCAAACCCAAACCCTAAACTCCAAACCCGAACTTCTAATTGCACTACCATCCCAGACCCCCGGGAGGATCTAGAAAGTAGATCCCCTATTTGGGGCCCTATACTACTAAGGGTACTTTCTAGGAACCCCCATTAAGGGATCTACTTTTTGGATCCTCCAAAGGGGGTCTGGGATGGTATGCCCTAAACCCTAAACCCTAAACCCTAAACCCTAAACCCTATAAATCCTAAACCCTATAAATCCTAAACCCTAAACCCTAAACCCTAAACCCTATAAATCCTAAACCCTATAAATCCTAAACCCTAAACCCTAAACCCTAAACCCTAAACCCTAAACCCTATAAATCCTAAACCCTAAACCCTAAACCCTAAACCCTATAAATCCTAAACCCTAAACCCTAAACCCTAAACCCTAAACCCTTATTCAAGGCCCAGACCCAGCTCTCTCGAGTGTCTCCACGCTCCTCCGGCGTACTGCAGAGCCCCCAGCGAAAAAAAAAAAATGTTTAGGGTTTTAGGGCTGAGGGTTCCCGAAACCCTAAACTTTAAAACCCTAAAGCCTAAACCCTAAGACCCCAAAACTAAAACCCTAAAACCCTAAAGCCCTAACCCCAACTCTAGGCCCTTAAACCCTAAAGCACTTCTCGGTGGCCCTGAAGAACATGCAGGTCCCCAGTCGAACTTCGGAGATGAACTTACTAGACCAAAAAAAGGTTAACCTTTGAATTTATGGTTTAGGTAGGGTTTAGGGCTTGGGTCTACGGTTTAGGGCTTAGGGTTTAGAGTTTAGGGCTTGGGGCTCAAAGCTCATGGTTTAGGGCTTAGGGTTTAGGCGGTTTAGGGCTTAAGGTTTTTGAGGTTCAGGGTTCATAAAGTTGTGTAGGGTTTGGGACCTGGGTTTTGAACAATTGCCCTGCGCCCCCCCCGCCCCCCTGCCCTCTGCCTCTGCCCTCTGAGCTCTGCCGTGCCCAGCCCTCATCTGCCTGCCCTCATATTTCTGCCAGCAGGCATCGCAACATCCTTGCGGTGCTCAACCACAACTTCCATTTGAGCATTTGCTTGAGGGTTTAGGGTGTGGGGTTTTTGGGGGTTTGGTGTTTAGGTTTTGGGCTTAGGGGTTCAGGGTTTTCGGTTTAGGGTCTCGGAACACAAAAGGGGCAGGAACGAGAAAGTTATAGACCCTACAATTAGGAGCCTGAATGACGAGAATATGTTGTGTGTATTCAGGCTCCTGCACCAAGCCCTGCCCGAAAGCACTACAACAAAACCCGCAAGCTCTCCGAAGTACCGTCAAGCGAGAGCGTGCTTCTTCACGAGAGGCAGGTTCAAGGTTGGTGTTTCCAAGAGAAATTTGGGAGTTTCCGAAAATAGGGGACCCTAATGTAGTACCCTAAATGGCAGGGTCTTTATTATAAGCATCCCAAAATAAGGTACCCCTATTTTCGGAAACCCCCATTTCTGTAGCCGCGCCTCATCTTCGACCCTCCGAGCATCGCAGACAAAACTCCAAAGTTTGGAGACGACCGTCGAAGAGGAGGCTTCCGAATATGGGGGGGCGGTACTTAAAGGGTCATAGGACTTAGTAACTAGGGTTATAATTAAGGTAGCTAGACTTATATTATAATTAGTTATAACCCCAATTAGGGTACTTATAACCCCACTTACTAAGTCCCATGATCCTCCAAGTAGCTTCCCCAAACACGTTCGTGGCCCCCTTCACGGGAGCTTCCGAAAACTAGGGTTACCTTAGCTTGGGCTTATAATCAGGATCCTACTATGGGTACAATATTTGGGTTCCCTACTTTCGGAAACTCCCATATAGAGAATGACGTTCCCGAAGGTGGGCGCACTTTCCCGATGTTGGACTAACGGATCTGTTTCTCGGACCCCCCGACTGAGTAAGTAGGTAGAGTTACAAAAGTGCCCTAGGGGTCACCCATCATTGGGGTTATGATACTTCAATCTCTAATGGCTAAGGAAAGCAGTTCTTAAAAAACCCTATATAAAGCCTGTGCTAGCCTAAACCCCGAGCCTTGAAGCCTAAACCCTAAGCCCTGAACCTGCCGAGCGTTGATGTTGTTCGGTTCTGCCAACATCCCGTAAAGGAAAACTGAACCCTAAACCCTAAACCCTAAAAAAAACTGAACCTGCTTAAAATCCTAAACCCTAAACCCTAAACCCTAAGCCCTTAAGTCCACCGACCATCAAAGCTGCTTTGTGCCTCAAACAAACTCAAAAAGCTCCTGGGCCGATATCAACCCCGAAACCCTAAACCCTAAACCCTTAAAGGAGTTCCTTAAAGGGTTCCATAAGGGATATGTAGGGGGTTTAGTACAGGCTCTACTTGGAGGATCATGGGACTGAGCAAGTAAGGTTACAAGCACCTTAATTGGGGTTATAAGCAGTTATAAGTATAGCCCCCCTCATTATAACCCTAGTTGCTAAGTCCCATGACCCGTTGGGTAAACTCCTAAACGTCCCAGGGGCCCCCCAAGTACCATTTAATGAAGCCCTTATCGTCCTTAGTAAAGGGTATTTGGGGTACCGTAGAGGGTAGTTAGGGGGTCTGGCTCAAGCCTCTAAGCCCAAAAACTTCAAACCTGAACCTCTAAGGCAAACTAAACCTCCAACATGTAGGCCCCAATTGTCTAGACTTTGGAAGGGGCCCCCACCCTGTAATAGTGCTATGATAGGAATAAAATAGGGCCCTAATATATTCCTTATAGTCACTATTACAGGGTCTGGAGGCAGCTTCTAATCTAGACTTCAAAACTGCCTGTAAACTCCCAACCTGCCTAACCCCCGAAACCCCAAAGTTTAGGGTTTAGGGTTTAGGGTTTAGGGTTTAGGATTTAGGGTTTAGGGTTTAGGGTTTAGGATTTAGGGTTTAGGGTTTAGGGTTTAGGGTTTAGGGTCAAACCTCCAAAGTCAAATCGTAAAGAACCACAACCAAAATCCCGCAAAGCCCCCGTGTGAACGTCTCAGAGGTTGAACCCTAAACTCTGAACCCAAAAGGGTTTGGCGTAGAGGTCTTGATATTAGAATAGGGTATATTCATATTACGGAACCGTACGGAATAAAACAAAAGATTCAGGCTTCCATATTCGGGCCCAAGATCGAGATACCCAAAACCCAACACCCTAAACTAACGAAAACAAACGACTGAACCGTACGCCCGAAATGCGGCGCCTGACCCCAGCTGCCGCCACCGCCGTAGCCCTGGTATAGGGGTGCCGAGCTCGGGGTTTTAACAAAAGGGGTTTAGGGTTGCTTTTGGGCTTAGAATTTAATAGTCATAACCCCAGTATGGTTTCTTCGTGTATTCATACCATACTGCCGCTCTCACGAATGTTACCTGCTGCTGCCACTTCAATCACTGGTATTGCAATCGCTGTTGCTGATGCTGCAGCTGCTGCTGCCAGAACCCAAAGCACATTCACAAGCCCTGACCCCCGAAGACACACTCGAATTGGCAAAGCAGAACGAGCAATCCTACGGCTGATGATATAAATCCTGCATTACCCATAATAAGGAATATACCATAATTCCCATAGTTTAGGGTCCTTAAGGTAATGCAGGATTTATATCATCAACAGTATGACATCAAAGAAGACATCTGCCAGCATAGTCTTAGCCAACTGCGGATTCCTCAAACGTCCTTTGAAGGCCAAAGTTCCAGCGGACTCGTATGGGTGGTTGTCAAGATTAGGGGTCCCTTTTTGGGTACCCTAAATACTAGGTGCCGTTATATATATATATATATATATATATATCATTTATTTCTTTCTTTATTTACATTAAGAACCCCAAAAAGGAATCATAATTTTGAGGACCCGGTCAGCAAGGGCTCGTCTCCCAGGACGCAAAGGGCCGCTAGAAGCATCAACTGGAAAACGATGGCCCCCCGCCATACCCAGAGAGCCCAATACCCCTTAATTAAGGAATACCAGGGTTCCTTAAAAGGGCTCCCTAAAGGGATCTATTAGGGTTCTCTAAGGGAATTAAGGAGGATGGCTTAAATTATGTAGGGCTTCATATTATGATTTAAGCTATATTCCTTAATTAAGGGGTATTGGGCTCTCCGGGTAGACACGCACCTTCTCTGCTGTATCTCAAAGGGGAAAAGGAGGGACCCTTAATGGGGACCCCTACCCTAGAATGGGCTATATCATGGGTATATAGTAGCTATATTGAGGGTATATACCTAGTTGTCCTTATTAAGGGTCCCTCCTGATACCCTTGGAGTATCGCAAGGAACCCATGCACTGCTTATGGCCTTTGCTTCAGCACCCGGGGCAGGATGAAGAAGAAGTAGAACCCCTAATTTGGTACCCTACTTGGAGGATCGTGGGACTTAGTAAGTAAGGTTATAAGTACCCTAATTGGGGTTATGAGTAATTGTAAGTACAGTTACCCTAATTATAACCCGAGTTACGAACTCCCATGATCCCTTAAGCAACTATTCAAGGGTACTTTCTAGAAACCCAAGTTGAGGGATCTGCTTTCTAGATCTTCCTGGTGGCCCCCCAGAACCATGCCAGTCACCGGAGTGACCACGGCAATCATGCCGGCCTGGTGGCCCTACATCCCAAGAGAATGACCTACAGTAGAAGCCCAAAAGTTGGAAACCGAATAGCCTCAATCCGTAAGAGTAACGTATAAGGAATCCCAGCACTATTTGGCCTTTATCCGGTTTCCAACTTTCTGGGGTTTACTGTAAGCCGTAAACCATAAACCGTGGGATTGGGGCTTTAGGGTTTGGGATTTAGTGTTTAAGGAAAGCTCTCACAACCTTGAAAGCGCCCCAAACTCGTGAGAAACGTAGGTCTTCAGGGTTTAAGAAGGGTTTGCGGCTTAAGGTCTGGAGCTTCAGGATTTGCGAATTCAAGATTAGGTGCCAGGCTTAGGCTATATCAGACAACCCTGAACGGAGCCTCACCACCAACGGCCGCAACCAGAGAGCCCAGTACCCCTCAACTTGCGGTTGACATTCTCCACAGAACTTGCTGTACTATAACCTATTCTAACTATTATGGCCCCTACATTACCATATCTGACTCGGTCTAGTGCACTTGAGGTAACGCAGGAAGTGTCCCGTAAATCATGGCCAGAAGAGGCTTATCAATATGTGGATGGTTGTCAAAATTAGTGTCCCTTTTCAGGCACCCTAAATATTAGGTGCCGTACTATATTGGGGACCCAAAAAGGAACCATAATTTTGACAACCACCCATGTGATAAACACCCTGACCAACCAAACTCTAGCTACTCATGCCCTGTCATAAAGCCCGTCCAGAGACCCAATGAAGACTTCAAACAAACCCCACGAACGCTTTAACAAGCCTTGTAGAAAAGCCCTTCAGAAAGCCCTAAACCCGTTGAACCCTCATAGTAGCCCTTGTAGCCCTTAAAACCCTAAACCCGAACACAACCTGCGCTTCACTTCACCTAGATTCGGGTTTGGGGCTTAAGGGCCTAAAGCCCCGAAACCACGGTTTAGGGTTCAGGAACCCTAAACCCCAAACCCTAAACCGAGCACTGGCCTGTCCCTTTCCGCCCTTGCCTTTGCTGTAGCCTGCAGGCATACCAGTTTCGAAACCCTTCGGGTCTGGGATCAGGATAAGAGTTTAGGGTTTAGGGTTTAGGGTTTAGGGTTTAGGGTTTAGGGTTTTTAATATTCAGGTTTCCCAGACCCCCGGGAGGATCTAGAAAGTAGATCCCCTAATTTGGGGCCCTATACTACTAAGGGTACTTTATAGGAACCCCCATTAAGGGATCTACTTTTTGGATCCTCCAAAGGGGGTCTGGGTTTGGGATGGTTTAGGTTCGTTTCAAAAGCCGAACACTAAATCGGGTTAAATCCCATTCAAGACTTACCGTTGGTTAGTAGGGAATGAGGAATGGGGTACAATTAGAACCACTATTACTATCATTCTTCCATTCCCTACTAACCAGCGGTAAGAAGAGGGTAACTTATGATCGACCTTCTATCTCCTCTAACAAGCCTCCTGACCCATGCTCAGCCGAATTACCCGGAGGCAGTGGCTACGCCGTTTTAGGGTTTAGGAGATTAGGGTTTAGGGGTTTAGGGGTTTGGGGTTTAGGTTTTAGGGGTTTAGGGTTTAGGGCTTAGGGCTTAGGGTTTAGGGTTTAGGGTTTAGGGTTTAGGGAGGGTCTAAAGGGAACTCCAGAAAGTTGGAATATGGATGAATGGTAGGATCCCCTGTAATTTACCTTAAAGGGGTTACGATAATGATATTCCAACTTTCTGGCTTCTACTGTAGGGGTTGGGGGTTTAGGCTTTAGGGGTTTAGGACGTATTGTTTAGGGTGTAGGGGTTCCTTTTGAAGGGGTCTGTAAGGGTTATATACTACATGGGGTATTATGGGGCCTTAGTATAGAGGCCGGAATGATTAGAAAAGGGCTTGAGGGCCCATTATACTGTGTTGATAATAGAGAACCCCCAATGTAATATAGGTAACTATTGAGGCTCCTGTATGATTTTGTAGTCCTCTCTTAATTCGGGTCCCTCGTTTAGGTCCCCAAAGTGGCGCGGCACCCTTAGAAAAAGGATCAGCGCAGGGACCCTAATGTAGAGAACTACCCCTGTAGTACCCTTATAGAAACCCTGTAGAAACCCTTAAACATACCTTTAAGGGATCCTAAAAGACATTACAGGCTGTCACTTGTCGTTTTGGTCTGCAGTGGCTTCTGGCGTTAAGTGTTTTTTGTTGTTGCGGCTTCGGGTTTAGGGTTTAGGCTCCTGCGAGGTTCAGCCAGAGCACTAGTTTGGTGTGGGTACCGACTTTGCCGAAAAGCCTACTTAAAGGGTCATGGGCCTTAGTAACCAGGGTTATATTTAAAGTAACAATACTTATAAGTAGTCATGACCCCAATAAAGGTACTTAAAACCGTAGTTACTAAGTCCCACGATCTTCCAAGTAGCTGCCCCAAACACGTTCGTGGCCACCTTTATGGGAGATTCCGAAAACTAGGGATACCTTAGCTTGGGCTTATAATAAGGACCCTACTGCGGGCACTATATTAGGGTCCCCTACTTTCGGAAATTCCCAAGTACACCCATCGCTGCTGTTTCGACAGGGAAGCTGCATGTGGCTTTGGTTGTGGCTCTGGCCCTGGCTATGCTTTGCAGGACTTAAAAGGTCATGGGACTTAGCAACTACGGGTATAAGTACCTTAATTGGGGTTATAAGTATTTATAAGTATAGTAACCTTAATTACAACCCTAGTTACTAAGTCCCATGACCCTTTAAGTACTCCTGCTCCGAGGCCTTCGCTTCCCAGACGCCCGGGAGGATCCAGAAAGTAGATCCCCTGATCTGGGGCCCTATACTACCAAGGGTACTTTACAGGAACCCCCATTAAGGGATCTACTTTTTGGATCCTCCCCGGGGCCTGGGTCTGCAGGCTTGGCACCGCCCTTACTTTTCACCTCGGCCGTCACCGCCGACTCCGAAGCCATCAGCAATGGCCAACTGGGTGGTGGAGCCGCCAGGCTCAGTCAGCAAGCAGTGTCTGTCTATGTGTCTTACACTCATCCACACCCAGCCGTCCGGACGCACGTAAGATCCTGGCGAACGCTCTCTTGCGTTGCTTGGAGTCTGTCCTCCAGCTCCACAAGATACGGTTGATGATATAAATCCTGCATTACCCTTAATAAGGAATATACCATAATTCCCATAGTTTAGGGTCCTTAAGGTAATGCAGGATTTATATCATCAACCGTATCACAGAGATGAGCTTCTGCTGATGCTGGATGAGGCCGACTCTCCGCTGCTTGCGACAGTCGCGATGAGGGCAAAAGCCACCCCACATGTGGCTGATTTCTATCATCGGAAAGCCACATCTTCTTAGGGTTATATAAGGGTTTAGAGTTCAGAGTTTAGCCGTGCTGTCTTGGACGCTACCACAAGCTGCGCAACACGTCAAACATCCTGGCAGGGCTTTAGACGTCTTAGAGACAATTACAGAATCGCAAAAGGACCTTACACATCGAACAAAATCCTAGAAGAGTGACCCTAAACCCCAAACCCTAAACCCCTGAACCCTAAATCCTAAAGCCTTAATTGCCAAAAACCTATGCCCTCACTGGGTTGCTGGCTTCGGCCGGAGCCGTTTGAAATTGCCAAGGCCTTACCTGGGCACGCACAGAGCGCCTAGGGTTTATGGTGTAGGGTTTAGGGTTCAGGGTGTAGGTGGGCAGGGCAGGGGTCTTTCAAGACGCGGGACATAAGCGAACATGCGCCAGTAGCCCAAAGCCATGATCACTGGATGTATTGTGGTCCCTTCAGGGCATAGGCTAAGGGTCTGCATTCCTTCATTTCCTGGATTTGAAGCTGGAAGAAAGACTTCGGATGACCTTGTTTGTCTGCTCAAGGCCCTAAACCCTAAACCCTAAAACCCTAAAACCCTAAAACCCTAAAAATGTGCAACTTCGATCTGCGGTTGAGGTTCGATCTGCAGTTCAGGTTCGATCTGCGGTTCAGGGTATAGCAGAATTGCCACGCTCTCTTCTCGTCGTTCCCCGATGCGCGCCTCCATCGACATATGCGGCAAATTCTAGCATGGGGGCCTCAAAAATTTAGAATAGGGCTAAGGGTATATTAGACTATAATATAATAATGAACGCCCAAAATAGTATTGGTAATTATTCAGGCCCCTATGTTACGCTGATGTAAAACCTAGAAAATTGAAAAGCCAACATTCGGTTTTGCAGGGGCTTTAATAATTGCTATTGTTTTGGGGCTTGCTTATTATAAGTGTAGTATAGTGGACACGAAAACCCTATTCTAATTGCACACTAATTATAAAGGCCCCTAGATTAATGTGCAAGAATAGCAGACGATGGGACGTAGAATTTTAACTTCTGATTAGGCCTAAACTCTAAACCCTAAACCCTAAACCTTAAACCCTAAACCTTAAACCCTGAACCTTAAACCCTAAACCCTAAACCCTAAACCCTAAACCTTAAACCCTTGACCCTAAACCCAAACTACCTCAGCCACCGCTGGGCCTCGGCAGTCCTCCGCAATCTACCACCGTCACCGCACTGCTCCGTGCAGCCGATGACCCGAAACGGACAAAAATTAAAAAAAAAAAAAAAAAAACTAGACCTAGGAGTAACCTAGGAATAGAAAGGGTGCCTTTTGGTTTAGAGGGGGTTTTAAGGGAACCTAAACCAAAAAAACGGAATAAGGGCCTACTCTGGGTCCTGGACAGGGTTTCAGGACTAAGGCTTTGGGAGTACGGTTTGAGGACAACGCGAGACGGAGCGTAAAAGCGTCTCCACTTCCGCAGGTGCCGAACTCGACCTTTAGTACCAGCTATGTCAAGTTGGAAGTACGAACCGTTAACCCTAAACCTATAATACGAGGACCCGAATATGGCTTCCAAATCCGAACCAAACCCCCCGAACGCTGTTGTCGTAAGATTGCATGGTCTCATGGCTTGTCCGAACCACGGCTTCCACCGCAATCGTTTCAGAAAGAGGCCGCCATTTTGCAGCTCGCAGCTGCAGCGGAAAGGTTAAAAAAGCGTAAAAGCCAAGCAAGGATGCGATGGCAACAATTATTGAGGCACCTGTATTCCCAAAGAGCCCAAAACCCATAATGTAGGTTATTCATTCATTATACTTTGCTTCTGGTCATGACACAGGAAATAGTGCTTACTTACAGTAAGGGTACTGAGTCCGAATGAGACGGTTTCAAGTCAGGGTGGCCACACTGTGAGTCAACCCGAAACCTATCTTGATAAAGCACGGAGCGCACAAATCACCCGTGTTGTAAAGGAACGTCTGCCAAATGCTATTGTCAGATGGGTGCAAACGCGCCTAACACAACTCCGACAAGCAGTACCCTGCCGACAAGCGTTGAACGCCCCGCAGACATCAAAAACCATATTCCTGAATGGTCCCACCTACTATCTGGTTTTAACGAGGGGACCCAGAAAGAAAATTAGCAAAGTGTACTATGTCATTCCAAAACCATTCTCTAGCAGCAAACTCCGTGCAGCACTCAACAAAGAACCCTAAACCCTAAACCCTAAACCCCGACGACCCCCAAACCCCATGCAGGCTCTACTTGGAGGAGCATGGGACTTAGTAATTAGGGTTATAAGTACCCGAATTGGGGCCAGGATACCCAGTAACCTAAGAATAAAAAGGCCTCTCTTTTTGGTATTGGGTAACTTTATAAGGAACCTAGGACTACAAAAAGGGAATACTGGGCATCCTAGGGGGTTATAAGTAGTTTTAAGTATAGTTACCCTAATTATAAGCCTAGTTACTAAGTCCCATGATCCTCAAGTAGGAACTAGGATTCAGGATTGAGGAACGAGGATTTAAGAACTGGCAGGTTTAGGTGTTAGGGTTTAGGGGGATTTAGAATTTAGGAACCAGGCAAGATCAATATCGCTCGATGACCCCATAAAGGTCTAAATCTTCATCGGTAGAGAAGGTTTAGGGTTTAGACTGCCAGTCTCTAGGGTCGTGCATTAGTATGGCGGGTTTGGGAGTTTGGGTTGGTCGCTAGAGGTGCTCCACTTCGTGGTTCAGATTTCTAGTCTTGAGGCTTTGCATCCCAAACCTAAGCCCGTATCCCTGAACCCGAAAACCTGAAGCCGAATCCCTAAGCTTTGGGACGTGGGGGCTGCCTTATGGTTTAATGAACGTATGATATCCAAAGCCAGGCGGCAAAACATCCCTTAACCGGTACTCCTGACCTTCGTACACCCTTACGGTTTAGGGTTTGGAGTATAGGGATTTAGGGTTACCTGTGGGACTCAGCAAGCACAGGGGGGCATGTAATAAGTTGTTGGGATCTGTTTGGAGTGTTCACGACGTTGGTATCGTTTGACAATACCAGACCCAAGAGTAACCTAGGCATAAAAAGGGTACCCTTTTTGGTTTAAAGGGGCTTCTTAAGGGAACCTGAACCCCAAAAACTGGAATAAGGGCCTACCCTAGGTCCTAGATATGGTTTCCGATCGGTGGACTGAAGGCAAGTAGGCTAAAAACTAGAGTGATCAGTACCCTACACCCTGAAGCCTAAACCCTAAACTAAACCGACTTTCAGTTGGGTCAAACTCAGCGACCCTAAACCCCTAAACCCTAAACCACAAAAACCCTCAACCCTAAACCCCTAAACCCTCAACCCTAAACCCCTATATAAACCTAAACCCCCTAAACCCTAAACCCTAAAACAACTTACATGATAAGCGCCCTGAACTGCCGAAACAAGTACATCTTCTGCAGAGCAAGCGAGCAGACTGAGCTTCTGACCACCACCCTCACCAGGGTGGAAAGCTCGTTGTGGGGCTTGATTGGGTTCTATCAAGTTCTATCGGGTCTTGAATCCTGAACGGAAAACCTCATGAAGTTTCCAGGGTTTCGGCTGGGTGTTTGTACATTTATGGCTTTGGGGTTGGTTGAAGGATCTCAGGGGACTTTGAAAGTAAGATATGCCACGTTAGCACGTGCGTAGCTTTTTGGAAAAGCACCATTGAGATTGGAGTGTTACTCTTTGCTTTTCGTGTTGGGTGCTGGCAGGATTTATCGCAGATGCAGTGGGGCTGAACGTCATAATGGGTCCCAACATGTATCTCCTGGCACCACCATTAACAGCAAATAACCGTGCCGGTGGATTGGACACTAATACTTTGGAATGCCTGGAACGATGGGGGGGAGGTAAAGGCAGTAGATTTAGCAATGAGAAGAGGAACTAATCAGAAAAAGCAATGACAATCACGATATCAAAGATGAAGGTACTACTGACGTTAGTCAAGGAAAAATAGTTCCCCCTCAAAGCAGCCCCAAACCCAAAGCCCTGAACCCTACACTGCACCCTAAACTGCAAACCGTAGCTCCGCGACCCTGCCCTAAACCCTGAACCCTAAACCTTAACCCCTGGACCCTGAACCCTAAAACCTATCCCCCCTTCCTCCTCTCTAAATTCGCCTCGGCCCCCGCCGAAGCGGTTCCTATTCGGATTCCCTCCATTTTCCATGTGACCCCACCTGGTGCGGGCCCCCCCCCCCCTAAAAAATTGAACCCAAGGTCCGGCGGTGAATTCTCGCCTTCTCCAATGGATTTTGGCAGTCTGTAGGCAGTCCCACCCAATTTTCTCCCCCCCTCGCTGGCCCCCCCACTCCCCCCCCCCTCCCCCCCCCTCCCCCCCTTCCCTCCCGCCCCTCCTCCGCTCGCTGACAGGTGCGAGCTTTCTGGAGTTTTCGACGACACGGGACTGCAATGTGGCATCTATATATGTTGGGGCTCGCCATTGAGGCTGCAGTACCAAGCGAGTTTCAAACCTGAATTCCTAACCCTACACCCTGACCCCAGCCTGAAAAATTGGGGCTCGCCTGTAAGGCTGCAGTACCAAGGGAGTTTCAAACCTGAATTCCTAACCCTACACCCTAACCCCAGCCTGAAAAACTTTCAAATCCCGGACAACACCTGCACCCGAAAGCACGACACCCTCCTCCCCCTCGCCGCATGCGCGTACAGCCGGGCCGAGGCGGACGACGCGCAGCGTTTCAAATTAACCCTAAACCCTAACCCGTGAACCCTAAGCCTCCCCCACTTCCCTTCCTTCAAAAACACCCGGAAAGCGCCTTCCAGGACGACGCCTTTCCTTTGCCCTTCTGGCCTCCGCGCTTTCCGCGGCTTCTGTCTCGTGTTTACCAAATTATCATTTAAGGGGCATTATAGGAGGGTTCCTTTAAGGGTTCTTTTTTTTTTTAACCCCTCTTTTCCGACTGCTCCGAAGGTCCTTTAAGGGTTCAGGGTCTAGGGCTCATTTAAAGAACCCCCTAGAGATTCTTGCAGGACCCCTGAAAGGAACGCTTGTAGATTCCCTTAAAGGTTACCTTTTAAGAGGTTCCGCTTGAGGATTCTACAACAGGGTTCCTTTAAGGATTTAAGGGAGCCGTTAAGTGGTTCTGGTTTAGTTAAGGCTTAGGTTTAAGGGAACCCTGAACCCTAAAACCCCATACCTAAAACCGAAACCCTAAACTCTAACCTTGAAGAGCCCTCATAGAGCCCTTGAAGGGCTCCTTTCCAAGACTCCTCCAAGGGCTTTTCCGGGTGGCTTTTTGTCGGATGTTCGTTGTGCTGTCTATGCCAAAGGAGAGATTAGCGACTTAAAGCTGAAGGGGTTGAGGATTTAGGGTTTAGGGTTTAGGGATATTCGAGCTTAGGGTTCAGACTTGAGGGAGGGGTGGGCTTCAAGGGTTTCAAGGTTTGAAGGACATCTTCGTGAATGTGGCTGAAGGGTCATTTTGCAAGTGTTGCTGGATATCTTCGTGTGTTGCACTGTTGAGGTGTTTTTCAGATTGGTAGGGGGAGGAGGGTGTGACTCATTTAAGGGTTGCTCTTTTTGTAAGGATCCTGCATTCACGGTCGATATGAAGGACCTTTTTGCTGGAGCTTCCTGCTGACTGAAAGCAACTGTCGTGAGCCCGGCCCTCCCAACACCTCACAAGGGGGGTCGGGGTGGAAGTGAACTATGGCTTAACTCTACATGCTAAACTCTGTAAACCCTAACTTTCAGGTTACGGATGTACGGATCTTGGGCTATTTGCGAGGTGCCATCGTTGAAACACAAGCACTTCACTTCCTACATAGGACCGTACTGGTAGCACAGGATTTTGGGCTTTAAGGGTTTGGAAGGTGCAATGGCTGTTAAAGACGCTGAGTGCCGAACTCTTCTTGGCAATAACGTTTGCACCTCTCGGTGGTCGAAGCTGGGTAATATAAGTGTCTTGGCAAACTAGAACAGGGGTTCGGGATAAAAGGTACTATACGTATAATAAGGAACCCCCGAAATGGTGTGGACAATTTTTTTGGCCCCCATATTAGGTTTAGTGTCGGTGTGGCATACGCTTTGGGATTTGAGGCTCCGCTGGAAGACCATTCTGCTTGAGACCTGGTGAACGGTTAGGGTTTAGGGCTGAGGGTTTCGAGTTTGTTTAAGGATGCTTATGGGTCCCACGAGTATCTATGAACAGGTCTCTCTTGTTGAGCTTCAAGGGAAAAGGGCCTCCGAAAGGAGCCACATAGAAAGGGCCAATGAGGAAAAAAGCAGAGCCCTAGATGCAAAGCAAGCTTGTCATTATCAAGGCGCCGAACCCTCCTCATGCATGTGGGTAGCTCTCTAAATTTGGATCCCCATTCAAGCACCAAAATAATACGGCACCGTTATGCAAAGGACCCTAAAACGGTACCCTTCTACGGAGAACTACCCACGGTTCAGGGTTTCGGGCTTAGGGTATACGGCTCACGGAGTCGTGCTGTGGGTTTAGCTTAACCGAGGCTTAACCTTCAAAAACTTACGTTTTGAAGAAGTACGTAAGTAAATTACGCTTTCAGCCCCGAAAGCATAGGTTTCGTAGAGATCATATACTATTGAAGGTATAGGAAACCCTTAAATGATCTATTTTTGGATACTGCCCAGGGGTCTGGGTTAGAGTTTGGGGCTAGGGGCTAAATATTCCGAAGGTGTTACAGGTTCGTTTGGGCTTTGCACAGTCTTGCAGGATTTTATCGGGTCTTGTGATAGAGCCTTAATAAGTAGTGTGGGTTTAAAGTTTAAACAATCTACCCCTAACCTTGAACTGCCATGCCTTGATCGTCAGCAACTCAAAAACCTTAATTACAGACCTAGTCACACCCAAAGACGAACTACATCCGAGATGCTAAGGCCTTACCTTATCGGGCTTATGGTTTGGGTTTTAATCAGGGATTTAATGCAGGAACCTGACTAAGAAACCCCGGGCCTATAACCCCGAAAAAGTAGGATTCCCACACAAGGAACCCTAATAAAGGCCCAAGGTTTCCTAATAGGGTTCCTACATTAGGATTTACGCTTTAACAGCAAAGCATGCGGCGAGACTGCTTTGCAGCAGCCAAGTTGCGATTCACCCGACGAGGATCCCACTGCGCGCGCCTTGGGGCGTTTAGGGTGCAGGGTTTAGGGTTTCGGGTTTAGGGCCCAATACCCCTTACTTAAGGAATATGGCTTAAATCATAATACAATATAATTTAAGTTGTATTCCTTAATTAAGGGGTATTGGGCTCTCTGGGCGGAAGGTTTGGACAAGGGCTCAGTGGGGATTGGAGCTGTGGGTTTACAACTTTAGATTGCGGGTTTAGGCTTAGGGCAGTTTATAGGGTTTGCATGGGTTTGCGCTCGGAAGGGTTCAAGTGCCTAACCATCATATACTCTCCGAAATACCGAAATATTAGCCTATTACTACCCGAAAAATTGTTGAGTAGCATGCAGCTTGACTCTGCGCAAGTTGATCTCCGCCAACGGCGAATGAAAGACACTGAATCGAAGGATCGTCATCCTACTTGTCGGGTACCATGGGCAACTACAGGTTAACGTTCTTGGTTATATAGGGACTATACAGGGACTATACTACCCCAAAAAGGTTAAAGGTTGCCCACTCTACTACTAGGTCATGGAGTGAGCGGCCAGAGTGACAGCGCCGCTCTCTCCGGTCCACTGGAGTCCAGTCTCTAGGTTCCTGAGTATCCCCTTAATAATAAGGGCACCCTTGTTCCTAAAATTTTTGTTTCGATAAGGAGACCCGAAAACAAACAGTGCAAAAGGGTACTACTCAGGAACCTAGTTCTTCAGCGTGACACTGAGCAGTTTGAAGGCCGGTTTCAAGGCTTAGGGTTTAGGGTTTAGGGTTTGTGTGGGTTTAGGGTCTCGGGTTCAGGGTTCAGGGTTTAGGGTTTGGGGTTAGTTTGGGTTTGGCCTCCTGGTTCAACCAGGCTGCGCCAAGCCTTGTGACGCTGCAGTTGACGGCAACGACTCAGAACAACTCAAGTGACACTGTGAACAGCTGAATGCAAAGTGGCTGCGGGGAAAGGAGGTGCCAGGGTGGGACAAGGGGTGGGTTTCGGGGTTCTGTGGTTTACGGTTTAAGGTCTAGGACAAATCTACCATGACTTTACATATTGCTGATCCATGCAAGACACACAAGTCACATTCCCCCGGACCCTGAACCCCTACGCCTGTCTCTGTCTGGGCTCTCCCACGCTAGCTGCTTGCCACCGGCCTTGCCAGCGCCCTTGCCCGCGCCCTTGCCGGCGCCCTTGCCGGCCCTGAGACGGTAGAACACACTAAACCCCTAAAAAACCCTATTTGGAGGATCATGGGACTTAGTAATTAAGGGTTATAAGTACCTTAATTGGGGTTATAAGTAGCTACAAGTATAGTTACCCTAGTTATAAGCCTAGTTACTAAGTCCCATGATCCTCCAAGTAAAGCCCCAAACTCCCAGGATTTAGAGCTGTTGGTCTCTAGGTTCAGGAAGGGGGAACCTGGAAACCGAGGTTTTCATTCAGGAGGGTCCCTATTTCAGACCCTCACACAAAATTAGAAACCCTAAACACTGGTTATGGTTTCGGGTTTAGGACTTCGGGTTTAGGGTTTAGCCCGCAGGCCAGCAGCAATCCTCTCCTCCTCTCTGCATTCGTTGGGGGCGCCCGCGCGGCTCCAGCACCACGCCACCTTGGGGTCGCGCGGACAATTGGGGGCCTTGAAACATAGAACAGGATCTGGTGGGAGATTATCATGAAATCAAAGTGCCAATACGGTGAAATCAGTACTACTTATCCTGACACTTGGGTAGGCGTAAACGCCAAGACGTGAATCCTAGACCTAAACACTTAAACCCTGAAGCCCTGAAATCCTTAGACCCTCAAGCCGATGAGAATTGAATGACCAACCCCTGAACCCTAAGTCTTAACAGTCCAGACCCTGAAGTCTCCCCTTCACGTAACCATTGTGCAGTCCCACCACCCTCACTTTGCGGCTTTTCTAAACCCTTAACCCTAAACCTTCAACCCCCGTCAACAGGGCCTTGAACCCTAGGGCTGTATCCTGAAATCCCACACCAAGAAGCCGCGAATCCAAAACCCTAATACATTGAGCTCATGAACTAGGATTAGGGTTGGTTCAGGGTTTGTGCCTCAACTCCGCGGAGCTCTGAAGCCTCTGAAAACTCGACATAAGTCCTTTAACCCTAAGTCCCGAAGCCCGAAGTCCCTCTTAGGACTTAGAGGTTTAGGGGTCTAGTGTGTGCAGTTTCAGGTTTAGTGTGTAGGGCTTGGGGCTTAGAGTTTAGGGTGTAGGGTTTAGGGAGTAGGGCTAAGGGTTCAGGATGCAGGGTTAAGAGTTTAGGCTTTATTCTTCAAAGCTTGATGTCATTGAGTCCTTGAGGTTTTCGGGTTTCGGGTTTCGCTGACGCTTGCGAAGACTCGAGCTTCGCGCTTCAACCCAAAAAACAAGGTATCTCATGAAACCCTTCAAGAAAACGAAATCCTACAAGTTACATGCTTCTAGAGCCCGAAACCCTTCAAAAAAAAACGAAATCCTGCAAGTTGCTAGCCCCTAAAACCCTAAACGGTCAGTGAACCGCTTACGCCCTGAAGCCGAGGTGGGCCCCCGCGCAAGCGCTGCACCTGGCCCTTCTGCCCCTTCTGGCCCTTCCTGGGTTTCCGCGTTTGCGGTTTAGGGCTTACCTTAACCTACCAAACCCTACTGTTTTGTAGGTTCTTATTCTAAACCCTAATATGGAATTTATAGGGACCCTACCTGTTTGTCGGTTTTGGTAGGTTAAGGTAGGGTTTAGAGTGTGGGGGATTGGAGGCTCCAGGTGGAATATCAGGACTCAGTGGTTGGAATGCCTCCTCCCGTCCCACATGCGGAACTAGGTTCAGGGTTTTCCGGTTGCGAGTTTAGGACTTAGGGCTTGTAGTTGAGGGCCAAGGGTTCGTGGTCGGACAATGACTAGGATACCCAGTAACCTAAGAATAAAAAGGCCTCTCTTTTTGGTATTGGGTAACTTTATAAGGAACCTAGGACTACAAAAAGGGAATAAGGGTACTACTGGGCATCCTAGATGAGCCCTACGTAAGCCCGAAATCGAGTTGAGGAGTTTAACTGCATTCCCTACCTGCGCTTCGGAAGTCTAGGTCTACAATTTTCCGTTCAACCCTGAAACCCAAACCAAACCCTCCACTAAGAGGGTTTAGGGTTTTTGAGGTTTACTAGTTCATGGTTGGGGTAGGATTAAATATTTACATTTGTAATCCTTATTGGGTTTAAGTACCCATAAAAATGTAAAATGTTACCCAACTTTGACCAAGTTTAGGGGTTGAAAGGGTTTAGGGGCTTGGGGGCTTAATGGGCGTCGGGTTCAGGGTTCGGTCCCTGAAAATTAGGAGCTCCCTCGGGGTCCTTCTAATAAGGATCCGAGTGCTTAAGGCTAGACCCAAGAACAACCAAGGAATAAAAAGGGTGCTACAAGGGCTCCTTTAAGGGATCTTTTAGGGGTTTCGGGTTGAGGATTTAGGGACCCCAGAGTAGCCTAGGAATAAAAAGGGTGCCCTTTTTGGTTTAAAGGGGCTTCTAAGGGAACCGGAACCTTAAAATAAAAAGAAATCAGGGCCTACCCTAGGTCCTGGAAGGTCACCGTATCGGGGTCCTGATTTTTCTAGTAAAGATCCAAAGCGCAAATCCAAATCCCCCAATCCCAAGCCTTATACGTGCCCAGAAACCACGCAGATGATCCTATGACGTCTTATACCCAGACCGCCGGGAGGATCTAGAAAGTAGAACCCCTCATTTGGAGCCCTATGCTACTGAGGGTACTTTATAGGAACCCCCCTTAAGGGATCTACTTGTTGGATCCTCCCGGGCGTCTGGGTAAGGGCCTTTACGATTAGAATAGGGTTTGGGGGTAACTTGTGTCATATTAAGCATTATTTATATTGGGCCCAGGAAGGTCGATGCTGTTCTAGTTTCTTCCTCAGGGCCTAAGTATCCTAGCCCAAAGCATGTCAACGTTTTAGCTTGTGGTAGGATAAACGGTTCAAGGTTACATACTCAGCTAGCTCTATATGGGTGGTTGTCAAAATTATGGTCCCTTTTTGGGTCCCTATCATAATACGGCACCTATTATTTAGGGAGCCCAGCAAGGGGCCATAGTTTTGACAACCACCCATATAACAAACCCACATGGCGAGCACCCGGCTGGCCCCCCTTGCGGCCCTGAGCGGCTTTGTGTCTTTCAGAGGTTCAGGTCTCCAAACTCAGAGTCTAAGCGGGACCTTCAGGCCCGGGGAATAGAACGTGAGTTTATAGGGACTATAGGGTTGAGGGTTGAGGGTTTAGGGTTTAGGGTTTAGGGTTGAGGGTTTAGGGTTCAGGGTTGATTTGGGGTTAAGGGATTGGGGTTTTGGGTCCGGGGTTTGGGGCTCAGGGTTTTTTCAGGGTCTAGGGCTTCGGATTTAGGGTTTTGGGTCCAGGGTTTTGGGTTTAAGGTTGAGGGTTCTCATCTTTTAGGGTTTAGGGTTTAGGGTTTAGGGTTTAGGGTTTAGGGGTCACTTAGAGACAGATTGCGTCCTGATTCTGTCTATATGTCACCAGCGCAGCTGCTAAGCACATCCTCTGTCCCGCGGATTCGGCTGGTAGCGGTAGAGATACGGGAGTTTCCGAAACTGGGGGGCCCTAATATAGTACACTAAATAGTGGGACCCTTATTGTAAGGGCCCCAAAATAGTTACCCCTAATTTCCGGAGACGCGCACCATGGCAGCACTAGATCCAAACCTTGAAACCCTAGGGTTTAGGGTTGACGGGGCTCTGGGGCTTAGGGTGTTGGATGCATCAGGGCTCGTTCTAAAGGGCGCTTGCAAAGGAAAACCACCTTGGAAGGGAGTGCAGCCAAAATTGGGAACCTAGCTCCCTGTGACCGTTTGGGCAGGTAAAATCAACAAGCATGAAGTCGATCAGCGGCTATCTTGAAGGTTTCAAGAGTCTTGAACAAGCATCCTCGAAGACTGTTCAACGGCGCAGTTTTTGTCAGGGCTCAAAGATGGTGCCATATAAGGGCCTGAATGATTCGAGTCGGAAATTCGACCAGGATTTCGGAGCTCATTATCGTGCAGGTGTATTACGGAGCCCTTGCCCCGGCCGCTGTAATATTACTTTCCGGCTGTTTGATCTTACTGTTTAGGATTCCATATTGAAGGTGACTGGTACCAAAACTCTAAACTCTAAAACCCCGAGAATTACTCAGGGTGACGAGTACATAAATCCCGAAGCCTAAACCCCTCAACAAGTCCTGAAGCCCAAACCTGGGAAAGAACCCCGGCTTGGAGGGTCGGGGACCTTAGTACATGGTTATTTGGGGGAGTTATACGTATCATAACCCCAATTAAAGTCCATATAAAGGTACTTATACGCCTACTTCTGACATTCGACGGTACTTATAAGTTGACGTGTTACCTACTAAACAGGTCTTCCGACCCTCCAAGACCCCTCATAGATCCCTTTAAAGAAACCCTGATAGAACCAACCCCTCTTGATCCCCTTAAGGGTTCTACTAAGTCTTCCGACCTCGCTTTTCCCTTTGCCGCCGCCTTTGCTGCCCCAACCTGCGATCTGGAGAATGTAGGAGCCTTAAGAAAAAGAATAGGATTCTTTAAAAAGGCCTACTAGATCTAAGAGCAACCTAGGAATTAAAAATGTGCCCTTTTCGGTTTCAAGGGGGTCATAAGAGAACCTAAACCCTGAAAAAGGGAATAAGGGCCTACTCTGACTCCTAGTCGATAAGGGCTACTGTAAGGGCTAGTGCATGAGGGTACTGTACTATAGGGCTGGCACCAAACCCAACACCTCTTAAAGCTAGTAGCAGAGTAGACAACCTTTAACCTTTTGGTGGTACTACAAATCCCTATCTAGGACGATTATACTCCCGAAAGCTGGGTTCTGGCTATAGAGCGTAATATCTAGAATTGGATTCCTTTAAAGGGGTCTATAAGGGCTACTATGAGGGCTACTATACAGGGTACTGTAACATATAGGGACCTTAATAATTAGCACCTACGATCTGGCTAGCACCAAACCCAACACCTCTAAACCTCAAACCCTGAATCCAAACCCCTGGCATGCAGGGTTTAGAGTTATAGGGTTTGTAGGTCAGGGACACCTCAAAACCTCCGGCCGAGCCCCTAAACTTGGAAGCCTGATGAAATGTGGGATGAAGGTAGGTAGGATTACGGATCCCTCATATCAGGACCCTTATTCGGTATTGCCCCACCGACCTTCATCCTGCCCTCTTGAGGCCCCCTGAACTAAACGCCACACCTCAAACCCTACAAGACTTCGAAGTTGAGTGAGTGAGTGTGGTTCAAAGCAATCCTAAACACCAAACCGTAAACCGCAAGTTTCGGACGGGCCCCTGTCAATATTTATGAAGAAGCGTCGCTGCAAGATCCTTGTATATCCTTAAACCCTTAACCCCAAAACCCACTCACAAATTGCCCATGCTCCCTAAACACTACACCCATCAACACCTAAAGCCTAAACCCTAAACCCCTAAACCCCTAACCCTAAGACCTGAGCCAAAACCCTTTACACACAATGGGTATTTTTCCAAACTAGAGTCCCTTTTAAGGTCCCCAAAATGAGTACGGCACCCTTGTAAAAACGAGCCCAAGAGGTACCTCGACTTAGAAAACTACCCTCAACCCTAAACCCAAAACTCTAAACCCTCAACCCTTCTCCCAAACCCCAGAAGGGACCACAATTCTCAGAACGACTCAAACCCTAACCCCCAAACCTTAAATCCCCAAACCCTAAACCCTCAACTCTAACCCCTAACCCCAGAAGCAACCCCAATTTTCAGAACGACACAAATGTAATACAGGGGCCTTAATAATTGAAATAGGGTTTTGGGGCCCAGCATACTACACGTTATACTACACGTTATAAGGAACCCCCAAAATAGTATTAGTAACTATTGAGGCCCCTTTATCATAAAGCCCTTAGAGACTCCTTTTGAAGGAAACCTTTAAGAGAACCCTATTCTAATTCGAGGGTAATTCTTATGGCCCCCAAATGTAAATCCTCTGAGCCTCGTCCCTGCGACTTGCCGGCGCGGCTGGGTGCTGGAGGTATGGAGCCTGCTTGGAAGGCCCGGGGACTTAGTACCCTTATAAGGGGGTCTATTAGTTCGAGAAAAGAGATTTATAAGGGTTCTACAAAAGGGGTACGGATTGAGGTTTAGTTTAGGGTTTCGGCTTTAGGGGTTTAGGGTTCTTTTCAAGGGATACACCAGAGGCTGCCCCTTGAGGGATCCTATAAGGGCTTGGAGTTTCGGGTTTAGGGGTTTAGGGTTCCTTCCAAGGGATGCTTGAAGGGCTCTTGAAACGGGATCCTACGATTGATGATATAAATCCTGCATGACCCATAATAAGGAATATACCATTATTCCCATAGTTTAGGATCCTTAAGGTAATGCAGGATTCATATCATCAACAGTATGGGGGATCTCTATTTCGGGTGGAGGGTTGAGGATTGAGGGTTGCGGTTTAGGGTTTGGGGCTCAGGATTGGAGCTTCAGAAATCAAGGGACACTTAAGGTTTTCATCAACCAGGACTTGAAAAAGATGCTGCGGGGTCCCTATCCGGCTTCATACGGGCTGTTTTTGGCTACAGGGTCCGGTTCTACGGAGGGATTCGAGATTTCACCTACTTTGCCTAGATTTCCCCACTGTCCTGGGCGGCAGTATCTCGGAAACCTTTGCCTACTGCAGGCTTAGATATCCAAAATTCTCTTCGAACAAGCCCCAGCCAGAAAACTTCAAAATCCTGAACGCGACAGATTGCTTTGCGCCCAAAACCCTCAAGACCCAAAGACCCCAAACCCCTAAACCCTAACCCCTAAACCCCTTATAGATCCCTTTAAAGGAACTCTTATAGAACCCTTATAGATCCCTTTAAAGGACCCTAAAACCCCTAAACCCTAACCCCTAAACCCTAGACCCCCGCGGACGACTGGGCCGTACACTTTTCGGCACCCAGCGCATCCTGCCTCGCAGGAAGAAGAGGGGGGTCTCGAAAGGACAGGAGCTTCAAAGGATCCTAATCAATAAGGGCTTAGGGTTTAGGGGTTTAGGGTTTAGGGTTTAGGGGTTTAGAGTTTAGGGTTTAGGGTTTAGGGTTTAGGGTTCAGCAGCTCTGACTTTGAAGATTTCACTTACTATACTGAACTTAGAACCCTAGCAAAAATCATAATTTTATCTGTTTCTTAGGGATTATAATAACCAAAAATAAAAAAAATATTTCTAAGTACCCCTAAGTTTAGGGTTTGGGATTTTCTTCTTCTTCGGCCAGTTTTGGGTCCAATCTGAACTCGGGCGGTTTAGGGTTTGTCTTATGAGAGCCGGATAAGAGGTCTAGAAGGGACCTATAAGGATGTTTCGAAGGTTTTACATGGCAGCGTAGGGCTGTCATGGTCCAAAGGACTCAACAACAAGGTACCTGGGTTTAGTATGTTGGATGAAGTAGGCGATTATGACATACTTGGACCCTTAGGGCTAGGGCTTTTAAGTCCACCATGCACCACCCACACTTCTTCTAGGAAATTTAAACGATTCAGCGTTGCGCGTCGGCGCAGCCAGCAGATGCGAGCGAAAGCTTTCGTGTTTATGTATGAGCTGCTGTACACCGAGAATCTCCTGAGTCCAGCGGAGTGGTCAAAACTTTCAGCCAATTTAATCGCCTGGCTGGAGACTATACCGTAGGGCTACCTTAACCCACCAAAACCTACTTTTTTGCAGGGCCCCTTTAAATCCCATGTTAGGGTTTATAATCAGAACCTACAAATAAGTAGGTTATGGTAGTTTAAGGTAGGGTTAGGCCATGACGATTCTGAAGGACTTAGGGGGATAGGGGTTCGGAGTGAATTCTACTCAAAACAAAAACTCACAAACCCCAGTAGCGGGACTAGCGAACCCCCCTACCTTACAAGAAAGATCACGGGACACGAATATATCAGGCCTGAGACACGGGATGTAGTAGTCAGGGGTCTAAACTAAACACTACAGTCTGTTCACAGGCTCATGAGGCTTAGTAAGCCGACAAGAAGTGATATAAGTGCCTCAATAGTTAGGATATGGTGTTAGGGTATATAACATAGTCTGGCTACGAAAAGGAACCCTTAGGCTTCTACGTCCTTGTTACAAGTAGGGGTTTTATTGTTCAATTTTTGGCCCCCAACAAGCACTTAACTAGAACAAGGGCTTCAGGTCTACGACGAACTATACTGGGATTGTACAAGGATGCCATGACTGAGAACTCCGGCCCATGAAGTACCTACAAGCCTTTAGGGTTTAGGATTTAGGGTGAAGCCCAATGATCGTTAAAGCAAGCCAGAAGTATTAAAACCCGCAAGCCCTCAAACCCTGCACCCTACAGCCACAGTCCAAGAACCCTATATCCGGCCTAAGCCCTAATGTAAACCACGAGTGAAATCCGATGAAGCCACGACAGAAGGACCCCGAATTTCAAGAATCCGACCCAGTCTCTGTCCTAGTCCTCGCCTGTGCCTTTTCCTTTACCCCCGGCGACTGGCACCCTTCGCGCCTTCGGCAGTTTAAAGTTTAGGGCTTACGGTGCAAGCTGAAGGTTTACTCTACTCCCCTCAGAAGGCAAACAAAAAATGTATTCTTCGAGATCCCCACAAAACAAACCCTGAACCGAACAACTAGGAAAACACCCACAGGCCTTAAAGCTTTGGGTTTGAAGTTTTCGGGCTCAAGCTTCAGACGGGGCCTTTATGAATGTAACACTCTCTTGAATCCTTGACGGGTTCTGGGTGTGTACGGGTGATGATATAAATCCTGCATTACCCTAAGGACCCTAAACTATAGGAATATGGCATATTTCTTATTATGGGTAATGCAGGATTTATATCATCAACCGGTATCTTCAAGTCACCATATCACCCGGGCAATTAAACAACAGATTCCGTTCTGGGCTAGAGTCTCAGGTTTCCCGAGTCGGGTTTAAGGTTGTCTCACATCACAAAGAAAAGCCTTGAAAACTTTGGGAAAACGTTTGTGGGTTTCCCGGCGCCCTATAAACACACGAACCCCGGGTTCGGGGCTTGCGGGATTGAGGATTGAGGGGCCGTGTGAGCATTGAAGGTGAGAATGTGTCGATTGCCCGACACCAAAACCCGTCTGATGTAGGCTGCAGAAGGCGGTTAAGGGCTTGTATATAAGGGTTTAAAATCTAGGGTTCAGGTTGCTGAGGCCTCCCTAACATAGTTATAATACAACTCAATATACCCCTAACACCCCCCACTCCAATTACTGAAACCCCTATATGGGCGTTTCCGAAAATAGGGGACCCTAATATAGTACCCCAAATAGTAGGATCCTTATTATAAGGACCCCAAATAAGGTACCCCTAAATTTCGAAAACGCCCATATTATAGAACCCTTCGCCTTAATGACCCCTTGAACGGAACCGTACTGGAATTCCCGCATGCTAGTAGGATGCCGTTTGGGACTCTTTGCGAATATTGGTATCTTAGTTGCTGAGCACTTTCAGTTTTAGAGTAGGGAAATACTATCCCAAACAAGTGTAAAGTGTATCCACTCAGCTACTAAGTTACGAATATTGGTATCAGGCTTCTGTAGCCGGATGTCTCTGGAGGTCGGTAGTGTCGTTTTTTGTGTCCATGCGATTCAAACTCACTAGAAAGTTATAAGACGGTACCCTCAAAAAAGGGCATTCAGACGTCTATGCAACTTGAAGGAAAAAAAGATGCAGTAAGCAGTTTAGAGCAACCCTAAACCCTAATAACCCAAAACCCTAAACCCTAAACCGCACATTTGGGGATGCCCTGCTTATGGCCGACCTCCTAAGTCCCCCCGATTCCCTGAGTAATTTGTCGGCTCGGTTCAGGGTTTAAGGTTTAGGGTTTCAGGCTTAGGGTTGAAGGTTTAGGGTTTTTAACGTTTAAGGTTTAGGGCTTTTGGGGTTTAGAGTTTAGGTTTTTAAGGATTGGGGTTTAAGGTTCAGGGGCCTAAACCCTAAACCCTGAACCCTCAAGGCTTATATAGGTTTTGAGGTACACCAACCTCTCATCTTGCGGCGCAAGACCCTGAAGCTCCTCAGCCCCGACTACCCAGAGCCTCCAAAAACCCTTCAACTAAGGAATTTACCTCAAAATAGAGTAGGAGCCTTAATATGATTGATGATATAAATCCTGCATTACCTTAAGGACCCAAAACTATGGGAATTATGGTATATTCACTATTATGGGTAATGCAGGATTTATATCATCAACCGTATGATTGAGGGTATATATTCCTCAATTAAGGGGTATTGGAGTCTCTGGGTCGAACCTCAACCCAGGGTTTATGTAAACCCTCAACAATACGAGGATCCCCCGAAACGAGAAGCCCCATAATGTCTGTCAATCCCTAAACTAGTTCATGGTTGGGATTGGATTAAAAATGTACATTTCAATCCTTATTGGGTTTAAGTACCCATAAATATGTAGAATGTTGCCCAACTTTGACCAACTGAACCCTAAACTCCTGAAACCCCTAAAGCCCTAAACCCCAAGCCATGACCCCCTAACTAGACCCTAAACCCTAAACCCCTATAGATCCCTTTAAGGAACCCTTTAAGGAACCCCTTTAAGGAACCCCCTTGAGGAACCTTTGAAGGAACCCCTTAAGGAACTAAACCCCAAGCCATGACCCCCCGTCTACCCCCTCTCTACACCCAAAACGTGCGAGACCTTCTCGAGGGCCGGGTTCCGTCGGATGCCTGTTCTGAGGCATCGGGGTTTGCCCAGATCTTCCAAGCTCCCTTAATCAAGGAACATGCCTGAAATCATACTGAGGATCCTGCTATAATACATTCCTCAATACAGGGACTTTGGCAGATCTGGCTGGGATTTGGTTTAGTGTTTCCGGTTTCGGGTTGTTGTTGGGTTTCGGTTTTTGGAGAATGTACAAGCGGTTTTGGTATTGGGGTCTCGGGCCAATCTGAGTCTTGACAGTTTTGGGCTCACTGTGGACAATCGTTCCAAGGTTTTTGGAGCTGTAAGGTTAAAACAAACGTTTTAAGGGCTTTCAGCTGTTTTATCAAACTTTAGAGGCCTGGGGTGTAATGCTCTAGCGTTTTTCAAAGTTTTAGTGTGAAGGTTCGTTCTTGCGAGGTTGCGGGTTAGGCTTATCATTCTGCGTTTTGAAGCTGAAGGTCAAAAGCTGGTTACGCTAGAGGGCCGTAAGGGGTCGTAGGGACAAGGGTTTTAGGTGTGGGCGATGTGGGTTGTGGATGGTTTTGGCTTTGGGGGGGGAGGGGGCGTTTAGGGTGTACTTGGAGGATCATGGGACGTAGTAAGTAAGGTTGTAAGTACCTTAATTGGGGTTATAAGTAATTATAAGTATAGTCACCTCAGTTATAACCCTGGTTTCTACGTCCCATGACCCTTTAAGTAGCCCTAACCCCCCATTATGGAAGCCTTGTAGAAACCTTATAGATCCGTTTAAAGGAACCCTTATAGAACCCTTAGCTACTTAGTCACATGACCCTGTAAGTATTGGGTGGGTGATTGGGCCTCACTGGGCTGCAATGACAAACGGCACGCCCGCGAAGGGCACGGCTAGTTCATGGTTAGGATAGGGTTGAAAAGTTTACCTTTGTAATCCTATGGGTTTAAGTACCCATGAAAATGTAAAATGTTACCGAACTTTGACCAAAATGGGAGACGGCCGAGATCGAAGTGATCCCGAGGTGAGGAAGCTCACACAGGAGGGGCGGAAGCTTCATTAGGGCTTAGGGCTTACAGTTCCGGTTTACGGTTTTGGGTTTAGGGTTTACGGTTTCGGATTTAGGTTTCGGGCTTGGTGTTTCGTGTCCAACGAGATCACGGGATTGCCAACAATCCGTGATGATCTTGGGAACTGGCAGACCCCATCGCTTAAGGCATAACCATTGCTGTTCAACAACGCGCTTGGCAAACAGGGCACATTGCATGCTTGTTTGAAGTATGGAGGTTTGT